CGGATATTAATTGGGAACTCAACACCATGAGCTGGAGGAGTGACTACTGCAAGCAGAATTGTCTCCCAGCGGCCACCAAGATTGAACTGATCTCTCCGTACCAAATGTTGGAAGAAGAAGAGACAGTCTATCAATTGGTTGGTTCAGTATGGCATGATGAGGACGGAGGTGATATTGCTGAGAAAATACACCACCTATACCGGGATTGGGCTGATGTGTTCAGTCAAGAGAAGATTGAGGAAATGCCGCTGCATTCCCATAATGATTTGAAGATCAAACTCTTGCCTGGCACCGCTCCCCCATTTGGCCCGCTGTACCCATGTTCCGCTCCAGAGTTGAAGGCCCTCCGAGAGTACCTGGACAAAGAGTTGTCTTCAGGAAAGATCTCTAGATCGAATAGCCCTGCTGCGGCACCCATACTGTTCATTCCTAAGAAGGACGGGACTTTGCGGATTTGTGTGGATTATAGAGGTTTGAACAAGGTCACTGTCAAGGACAAGTACCCGTTGCCTATCATGAGTGAGCTCAGAGACAGGTTGTTCAAGGCCAAGATCTTCACAAAGATAGACCTGAAGAATGGCTTCAATTTGATCAGGATAGCCGAAGGTGATGAGTGGAAAACCGCTTTCAGAACCCGCTATGGACTGTATCAGTACAATGTGATGCCATTTGGCCTATGCAATGCTCCCTCCGCTTTCCAGGCAATGATCAATGATGTGCTAAAGGAACTACTGGATGAAGGAGTAGTTGTCTATATTGATGACATCCTCATCTACTCGGAGACTGAGAAAGAGCATGAGCTATTGGTCAAAAAGGTACTACAGAAGCTTAGGGAAGCTAAGCTCTGTGCCTCGATCAGTAAGACATCCTTCCATGTCCGAGAAGTAGAATACCTAGGCTATCACATCTCGGAAGAAGGAGTGTCTATGTCAGAAGACAAGGTGGAGGCAGTTAAGGAATGGCCGGTCCCTGAGAATATCAAGGCAGTACAGGCATTCCTCGGATTTGCAAACTTCTATCGCCGCTTTATCGAAGGCTTCAGTAAAGTTTGCAAACCATTAACTGACCTCCTGCAAAAAGACAAGAAATGGTATTGGACGGCAGCACATGAGCAGGCCTTTGAAGAACTCAAGAGGCTGTTCACAAGCGCTCCAATCCTCCTTCATTTTGACCCTAGTAGGAGAACGGTGGTCGAGACAGATGCCAGTGATTTTGCCAAGGGAGCGGTGCTCTCTCAGTATGGGGATGATGGGAAGCTACATCCGGTGGCATTCTATTCTAAGAAGTTCTCCCCTGCTGAGATCAACTATGACATTCATGATAAGGAAATGGGAGCTATTGTAGCCTCTTTCCGGGAATGGGAACACATGCTCAAATCTTGTGAGCAAGAGATCACGGTTTTCACAGACCACAAGAACTTGGAGTATTTTAATTCTACCAAGGTTCTCACTAGGCGGCAAGCTAGATGGTCCGAGGACCTAGCAGGCTACAATTTCAAAGTTGTCTACAGACCGGGAGAAAAGAATGGCAAGACTGATGTGCTATCTAGGCGCTGGGATCACCGCCTTGGAGAGGGAGGTGAAACTCTGCAGCCGGAGCCACAGACCTTTTTTAGGCCAGGTCAATTGGTTTTGGATCCTGCAAAGCTAGCGGCTGTCAGGGTGAATCAATTGCAGAATACATTCTTAGAGCGCCTATACACGGCTGCTAAAGAGGATAGTTTCTGGCAGGAATTGCACCGCTCCCTGGTTGAAAGGAAACCAAATTTGGACCAGAACTTGTCGGCCAAGAACGGTCTCATCTTCTACAAGAATAGATGGTATATACCCAAAGACAAGAAGCTTCAGATGGAAATACTGTCCGATACCCATGACTCTAAGGTGGCGGGTCATTTTGGCCAATTTAAGACACTTGAGCGGGTGAAAAACAACTTCTTTTGGCCCAACATGGATAAGGATGTTGAGGAATATGTCCGGAGCTGTGACAGCTGCCAGAGGAATAAGACCTCCAGACATAAGAAGTTTGGTATGCTCCAACCGTTGGAGATACCCTATCGGCCATGGACTTCCATCTCTATGGACTTCATTGTGGGATTACCGGAATCTAGCGGGTTTACAAAGATCTGGGTAATAGTGGACCGTTTTTTCGAAAATGGCACATTACATCCCTCTTCCTACCCTCAATAAAACGGAAGATTTGGCTAAGCTGTTCTTGAAAGAAGTTTGGAGACTCCATGGGTTACCTGATGACATAGTCTCGGACAGAGATAGCAGGTTCATCTCTCACTTTTGGCAATCTCTCATGAGTCTCCTCAATGTGAAGCTGAAGATGTCCACATCTTTCCACCCCCAGACGGACGGTCAAACAGAAAGAGTTAATCAGACCCTGGAACATTACTTGCGGAGTTATTGTTCATATCAACAGGATGACTGGGCAGAACTCTTGCCTTTGGCAGAGTATGCTTATAACTCGGCGGTCTCTGAGTCTACCAAAGTATCGGCTTTTTATGCCAACTATGGATATGAACCCAGGACCAACTGGCCGGCCCCAAAGGAAGGAGTAGAATGGAACAATCCAGCAAGTGAGGTTATGATTTCTCAATGGGAATCTATCTGGCAGGCTATGAACGCCAGCTTGGGTAAAGCTAGATTAAGGATGGCCCGGTGGTATGATGCTCATGCCCTGGCACCACCTGAAATCAAGCCCGGAGATGAAGTTATGTTGGACCGGCGCAATGTGCAAACAAAGCGGCCTTTGGGAAAATTGGATCAGAAGAAGATGGGACCCTTTAAGGTCTTAGAAGCTATTGGTACCCGTGCCTACAAGCTCTCTCTTCCCCCCCAGATGGGAATCCACCCGGTCTTTCATGTCTCTCTCCTAGAACCCTACAGAGCACCGGTAGATCCTGAGAGAAGAGTTCCTCCACCGGAACCCGAAGAGGTTGAGGGAGAACAGAACTGGGTTGTCCGAGAGGTAGCTGATAGCCGGGTCAATAAGAAGAGAAGACGAGTGGAATATCTAGTGCTGTGGGAAGGTTATGAGAACGAGGATGCTACATGGGAACCTTGGGAGCATCTCAAGAAGAGTGCTGAAGAAGCCCTTCGGGATTTCCACATGAGGTATCCTAAGAAACCCAAGGACAAGCGGATTGTTGGGGTGTAGATTATTTCCTTTGGGTTTTCATCTCCTTGCATATCACGGAGTTTCTTGTCATATAGAATGGTAATAGAATGGTTATAGATCTCGGAGACCAAGATCCTGGAAGAGGGGAGTGGTGTAACGGAGCCATTTCAACTGTCTGGTGTATGAGTACACACAGGGCCCGGTTACATGCTGAGAGTTATTGTTAGAAGCCAGTTGCACGGTGATATGCAAGTACCGGCAGTGTGGTTAGCTACCAGCTGTTAGAGTAACTACATTCCGGGCGCTAGGAAGGGGATCTATTCATGGGAGCAATGACTGACGAGTCGATGCCTCGCCAGTGACTAGAAGACCGGCCAGAGTGAAGCTCTGATTGTCCGGCGATCCTCTGTATCCTCTGAGCATTGTATGACCGCCGAAGAGGCAGGGACTATGCTAGGGAAGTCTACAATAAGCGGAAGCTCTACAGCAATGATTAAGCTTACACCTGAGCGGTAGCTCATTCATGCAGGTCCTCGGTTGTGTGGCAACCAAGGCTGCAGGTGTTACAAAGGCTTTGACTAAGGGTGGTTGCCTTGGGTATCGGAAACACCTGCTGACGCTTAGAGAAAAGCGGGGTAGCGGTGGTATTGTTTTCCGGTACTGAGGAAAGGCCCACCGGAACTTAGTAAGGAGTTAGGAGCAGAGAATAGAGGCCTTTGGAGTATAAGTACTCAGGTTCATTCTCGCCCTTCAGTCCTGTTCTCTCGAGTCTTCATCAGAAAGAAAAACCAAGTTCTTATCGGTAGCAGAGCCCTTAAAGATTATTGAGTTCTAGCGATAGAATCTTTGAATAATCTGCAACCTGATTGTCTATCTTGCACGGCCGTCTCTATTCTATACAAATCTATTTCTCTTAGAAAGGACCCCCGTTACAACAACCATTGAAGCCGGACTTCAATGGAAACCCCAACGTCGACCACGGGCTAATAAGGGTATCACGCTGCTCAAGCTCTCCTGACGATATATGGGTAGTAAACATAAAAAGCATTTTGGGCGCCGCTCATTTGGTGCCTGAGACGACGTCATCTACGAACAATAGATGGTTTATCAATAGTACGATCGATCTATCGACATACGGATCAATTTACTGAAGTAAGACGGGACGTTGGACTGAGTTTTTTATAATGATACTGACGACATGAACACCAGACAAGAGACTTTAGACAGGTGGACTTCTGACGATAGGTTTTGGGCAGGGGGGATTATGATGAACGGGGAAGACAAACGGGAATTAGGCGGGAGTCCTTAGACATGTTAAACAGTGGATATTCGACGCACTAGATTGTATTGTACATATTAGGTGGAAGGTATTAGACGGGCCCGGGGGTCATTGGAGTTTGTATTTTAGACGAAGTGATTATTGGACTTGGATTTTGGACAGAATTATGTCCGAGTCAAATGACGAGGATTTCCCAATTGAGCCATCTTCGTCTTTTGACGGGTAGTGAAGACGGGGACATTTGGCATAAGACGAGCGTAGGATAGATTGATTCAAAAGACGAGCTAATGAGGTCGCACGACCGGTTTCGTAATTGGAGCTCTAAATGGACAACGTTTTGTGGTCGAATGACGGGCGGCCAAAAATAGCGGGACATACGACGAGATCCCAGAGCCAAAAGACGAGGACTTGGGGGCAAAAGACGAATTTGGGCATCTGGGTGCCGGAATTCGTCTTGGGGAAACCCATTTTTTGCTGATGTCCCCTGATTACATAATCCTAGCGCTAAGCCTCCTTGTTCCAACTATGAGTCATCCCTTATACATGAGTAATTACCATACATAACCAATGTCGCAATGCCATATTTTTACACTTCCCCTCACTTGCCACATCGTATCAATTCTGACAATTTTTGGTGAGCTGGTTTTGGTAGTCCTTTGGTCATTATGTCCGCGACATTGTCTTCGGTAGGGACGTAGAGGATTTCGAAGGTTCCGGCTTCGAGTTGTTCACGTGTATAGTGGTAGTGAACGTCGATGTGCTTGGACTGGTCGTGGATGCGTGGGTTCCGACAGAGTTCAATAGAACCTGTGTTGTCGGCGTGTATGAAGTACTGGTATTGTTGTTGAAGTTCGTGCAAGGCATTACGAATCCATACCAGTTGTCGAGCTGCGAGAGACAGGGCCATGTATTCGGCTTCTGTTGTTGAGACTGCGACTGATTTCTGCTTCCGGCTTCTCCAGCTGATGGCTGACTTCCCTAGTCTGAACACGTATCCTGAGAACGATTTTCTGTCATCTAGGTCTGAAGCGTAGGAACTGTCTGAGAATCCGTCGAGTGTTCTAGTATTCCCCTTCGGGTAGAACAGGTTCCAGTCTTTGGTTCCGTTGAGGTATCGGAGAGTTCGCTTGGCTGCTCGTAGGTGGTCCTCGGTTGGACATGAGGAGTACTGGGAGAGAGCGGTAACGGCATGGGTGATATCAGGTCTGGTAGCTATACTTGCGTACATCAGTGATCCTATTATGGATTGGTACTCAGTTGGTTTCTCGATTTGGTCTTCCGGTTCGCCTGTAACGGCAGCTAGACGGGTTGGCTATGTGAGTTGTCTGGGTATAAGGGAGAAGGATAATGCAGTGTGGTTGGGTTTAGTAAAGCGGGTTTCTATTATGTTCTTTCTGTTTCTGTTACGCGAGGGTATGAGTCAGTATTGGGATAGGGTATGGATATATAAGGGGGGGCGTTGTCTCGTGATTTCTTGTTTCTCTTTCTTTCTCTTTCCTCTTTATGCAACCTCTGTACTTCACAGTTACGAATACTATTTTGTTCGCGCTACGTCATAGGGTTTACCCGGTATACTAGACCAGGTACAACCATCCATAGTCCATAGTCCACAGTCCCCGTTCTTGCCTTAGGTGTACCCTTCGGCCCCATAGTCCATAGTCCATAGTCCACGAACCTCCTACGTCCACGTCTCCGCCTCGGTTGTATTCCTTGGCTTCATAGTTTCTACGCCCATAGTCCCCGTTACACTTAGGTTGCATCCTCTACAGCCAACCAATACAACACCGCATCGCTTAGCTCCGGTCGCGACCATGTCCGACACCACTCAAGATACGTTGTTGCAGCGTCTTTCAGAATTTCTGATCACCTATGGTCCCCTCCCAGCCGATATAGACTTCGGCGAAGAACTTACTGAGGCTCATGGTCTTATTGCTGAGTGTTTGGAGGCTCTCACCAAGCCTCTCGACACCCCCACGCCACCAGAACCTGTCATCGATACGGCCCAGGAAGAGGTTATTACCAGCCTCACCACAGAACTAGAAGCAGCCAACGAAAAGGCTGCCGATTTTTGGCAAACCTTGTGCGATAACCAGGAAGATTCTACCGAGATCATCCGAGGTCGCGACGAGGTTATCATTGCTTTGAAGATTGAGCTGGAGGAGTCTAAGGCCGAAGAGGAGGAGCTTCGGTATCGCCTGGCACTACATCAGGAAAGCCTCGCCATCACTGACGAAAACCTCGCTGATGCTGAAGATGAGATTCTTCACATCACCTCTGTTGCAAAGGCCTGGGAGGCCCAAGCCAATGCCACCATCGCTGACCTTCGTTCTCGTATCTCTGTTTCCACCGCTACAGTTAAATCTCGCCATGTCTCCAAACCTCGTTACCTGGCTCCTCGCGCCAAAGATCCCCGTTCCATTAGCAATTGGCGAGAAAGGCCACTTGAAAATGGATCCCCAAAGCCGGCGTTAAAAGGTCAGCCCCTTTGGTAAAAAATGGCAAACCAAAGGGGCCAGCCCCGCCACCTGTTTCTGTTCTCCCTGTTGCCGCTGTGTCTGAGGATAAGATGTCCGAAGACTCTCTTGTTGTTACCTGCTCGGTCTCTCAGAATCCCGACTCTTTTATTCCCACCTATGCCCTTATTGATACCGGAGCCTCTGGATACGCTTTTATTGACGAATCTTTTGTACGTCACAATAATCTTACAATGACCCGCCTTAAAGTACCTCGTGAGGTAGATGTTATGGATGGAAGGCCTATTGAATCAGGACAGATCACCCATATTGTCAATGTGTCGCTGGATATTCATGGTCACCGAGAAATTGCCTCATGTTTCGTTACAAAGTTGGGACATTATCCGATCGTGATGGGAATACCGTGGATGCGACGTCACGATGTCACCATTCGGCCAAAAGATAATCTACTTATTTTTGATTCTCGGAACTGTCTTAAACACTGTTCACTCAGTGGAACGACAGTTACTGTCCATGGAATATCGATCCCTCTACCGGAACATCATACTGTTGTCGTTTCAGCAGTTGAGAAATCCACCGTCGACGTCAAGCAACTAGTACCAAAGGAATTCCACCATCGTCTCCATATGTTCCAAGAATATGATGCCTCAGCCCTTCCACCTCATCGACCGTCCCATGATATTGAGATAATATTGAAGGAAGGTAAACGACCTCCCCATGGACCGATATATGGCCTCTCCCAAATCGAACTAAAAGCACTACGGGAATACCTTGATGAAAACCTACCTAAGGGATTTATTCGGGCCAGTGAGTCGCCAGCGGGAGCACCCATACTGTTCGTAAAGAAAAGTGATGGGACTCTCCGGCTCTGTGTGGATTATCGAGGTCTCAATGCAATCACGGTTAAAAATCGATATCCGTTACCATTGTTAAAGGAAACCCTGGCCAAATTATCAAGAGCGCAATACTACACCAAGCTGGATCTACGTTGGGGATATAACCAAATCAGGGTAGCCAAGGGAGACGAATGGAAGACGGCGTTCAGGACTCGTTATGGACATTTCGAGTATACTGTAATGCCGTTTGGATTAGCGAATGCCCCTGCCACATTTCAACACTGGATCAATGATATTCTACGTCCTTACCTCGATCAATTTGTAACGGCATATCTCGATGATATCCTGATCTATTCGGAGACTCTGTCGGAGCACAAAGAGCATATTCAGAAGGTTCTGAAGGTACTTGATGAGAATCATGTTCACCTTAAACCTGAGAAATGCGAGTTTATGGTTCAGGAAACAAAGTATCTCGGCCTGATTCTCACCCCGGATGGGAATCGAATGGATCCGAAGAAAGTTGTCGATGTTTTGGAGTGGTCTACACCAAGGAACCTTCATGATGTTCAGGTATTTTTGGGATTCGCTAATTTCTATCGACGGTTTATCCTAGGATACTCAAAGATTGTTGCTCCACTTACGGCTTTGACGAAGAAAAATGTTAAGTTCGAATGGACGGATGAAAGGGAGGAAGCATTCCAGACATTGAAAAAGATGTTTACAACGGCACCCATACTAGCGCACTTTGATCCGAATCGGAAAATCGTAGTAGAAACCGATGCATCCGACTATGTTTCTGCTGCAATCCTGTCCCAATGTGATGATGAAGGAATTTTACATCCAGTTGCTTTCTTCTCAAAGAAGCATTCCCCTGCGGAATGCAACTACGAAATCTATGACAAAGAACTTCTGGCAATTGTACGATGTTTTGAGGAGTGGCGACATCATTTGGAAGGGGCACAATTTCCAATCGAAGTCCTCAGCGATCATAGGAACCTCGAATATTTCATGTCAACAAAGCTATTAAACCGTCGACAAGCCCGTTGGTCGGAATTTCTTTCACGTTTCGATTTCGTCATTCAATTTAGACCAGGGAAACAAGGGGCAAAGCCGGATGCATTGACTAGGAGGTCGGGTGACCTACCTAAGGAGGGGGATGAACGGTTGATGCATCAAAGCCAGGTGGTTTTGAAGCGAAAAAATTTGGATTTAAAGCTAAGTTTGTTCGCGGGTTCTTTTTCAAATGAATCCGCTGAAGGAATGTCCACTGTAGAAGAGTTGTTTTTAAATGCTTACCAAGTTGACAGTTTCCCGAACAAAGTTCTCGCGATGCTTCGGAACGGCATCCGTCACTCGAATAAGATCTCGCTTGCCGAATGTACGGAAGACAACAACGGTCGGCTACTTTACCGTGGCGTACTCTATGTACCCGACGACAATGATCTTCGGCTAAGACTTCTAAAAGAGTATCATGACAAACCATCGGCAGGTCATCCAGGCAGAGCGAAGACTTTGGAACTCCTGAATCGAGAGTATTACTGGCCACAAATGCGGAAGTATATCGATCAGTATGTTCGGAATTGCAATGTGTGTGCCCGTAGCAAGGCACCACGCAATGCACCCTATGGAGTACTCCGGCCGATGCCAATACCCGATGGACCATGGACGGATGTGTCAATGGACTTTGTTACCGACCTCCCAGAGAGCGATGGATACAATGCAATCTTGGTCGTGGTAGATAGGTTAACTAAGATGCGACACCTAATACCAACAACAAAGGAGGCGGACTCAAGGGAAGTAGCGAGACTGTATATTGACAATGTTTGGAAGTTACATGGATTACCTGACACTATGGTATCCGATCGAGGGACACAATTCGTTGCGGAATTCTGGAGGTCTCTTTGCGACCGTCTGGAAATATCACCAAAGTTTTCTACCGCGTTCCATCCTCAGACGGATGGGCAGACGGAAAGGATTAATGCCGTGATGGAACAGTACCTTCGGAGTTATGTTTCCTATCAACAGGACGACTGGGCCCGATGGTTACCAATGGCAGAATTTGCAACCAATAACCATGCTTCAGAAACAACGAAAATCTCTCCTTTCTACGCTAATTCGGGAAGAAATCCTCGAATGACTTTTGGACCCTTGGAACATGGTAGGACCATGGCGGAAGATCAAGCAAATGGTATTGCACGGGAAATGAAGGAAATATTAGATTTTCTACGAGATGAAATGTTCCGAGCACAAAGGATACAGGAGGAGTCGGCCAATATGAATCGGACTCCAGCGCCCCACTATCGAGTAGGAGATCGAGTTTTCTTATCAACACGCCATGTCCTCACCAAACGCCCTTCGAAGAAACTTGATTGGAAACGCATTGGACCATATATCGTGAAGCGAATCGTTAGTCCTTATGCCTATGAGTTGGAACTCCCTCGTTCTATGAAAGTTCATCCCGTATTCCATGTCTCTTTATTGTCGTCTGCAGCAAACGATCCTTTACCAGGACAACAACAGTTACCACCACCGCCGGTCGAAGTTGAAGGACAGGAGGAGTGGGAAGTCGAGGATATTTTGGATTCCAGGGATCGTCGAGGAAGATTTGAATACTTGGTTAAGTATGCCGGTTATGATGAAGCTTCGTGGCAACCATTGTCGGATGTCGAACATTCGCCCGATATTGTCAAACGATTTCACGAACGATATCCACGGAAGACTAAGCCTACCAGGAGGTAGGCTTTAGAGGGGGGAGTGGTCTGTAACGGCAGCTAGACGGGTTGGCTATGTGAGTTGTCTGGGTATAAGGGAGAAGGATAATGCAGTGTGGTTGGGTTTAGTAAAGCGGGTTTCTATTATGTTCTTTCTGTTTCTGTTACGCGAGGGTATGAGTCAGTATTGGGATAGGGTATGGATATATAAGGGGGGGCGTTGTCTCGTGATTTCTTGTTTCTCTTTCTTTCTCTTTCCTCTTTATGCAACCTCTGTACTTCACAGTTACGAATACTATTTTGTTCGCGCTACGTCATAGGGTTTACCCGGTATACTAGACCAGGTACAACCATCCATAGTCCATAGTCCACAGTCCCCGTTCTTGCCTTAGGTGTACCCTTCGGCCCCATAGTCCATAGTCCATAGTCCACGAACCTCCTACGTCCACGTCTCCGCCTCGGTTGTATTCCTTGGCTTCATAGTTTCTACGCCCATAGTCCCCGTTACATCGCCTTTGTGAAGGTTGAGGTTCGGTTCGAGTGGTGTGCCAACTGGTTTGCAGTTACTCATTCCAAATTTATCCAGGATCTTGTTGATGTATGCGCATTGTGATAGCGTGATACCGTTGTTGGTTACCGTTATTTCTATTCCCAGTATGAACTTCGAGTTACCGAGATCCGTACATTCGAAATCTGCCTTGAGTAGTTGTCTGATTTCTTTTCTGAATGGGGAGTCGGGTCCGAATATCATGATATCATCTACATACACCGATATGTATAGATGGTGGTTCTTATGTATGAAGATACATGGGTCGAATTTGGCTGGGACGAATCCTTTCCGTTGAAGGGAGTCTGCTAGGCAAGCATACCATTCACGGGGTGATTGCTGTAGTCCGTATATGCATTTTCGAAGTTTACAAACCTTGTTGTCCTGCCTGTAACCTTCAGGCAGTTCCATATAGATTTCTTCCTTGAGTACACCGTATAGGAAGGCTGACTTGACGTCCATTTGTTGTGGTGTCCAACCGTTGTGTGCAGCTAGTGCCAGTAGGAGTCGTAGAGAATCATATCGTGCAGCGGGGGCGAAGGTCTCATCGTAGTCTTGGTACTGTACTTGGGTGAAGCCTTTAGCAACGTACCTTGCTTTGTACCGCTCGATTGTTCCGTCCGCGTTGTGTTTCACTTTAAATACCCACTTCCCTTTCACTACTGCTCGGTTGGTTGGTCGGTTGACAATGTCCCAGGTATGGGCTTTGTCAAGGGCGTCTTTCTCAGTCTGTATCGCCTTTTTCCATAGGTGTTGATCGTCGCTGTTCATGGCTTGATGATAGGTTAAAGGTTCGGTGTAAAGAACCATGGGCGAGGCAGACGCTGAGGGGTTGAGGGACATGATTAGGTTCCCTGAGGGGAAGTACAGGCCTCGCACGAGGGCGAGGGATGAGGTAGTGGTATGCCCGAAGGCAGGGACGGCGGTCTGTACAAGGACATAGAGGAGGACAGCGACGAGGGTCGAGAAGGACGCGGCGAGGAATAGGGAGGCGGCGAAGATCATAGCGGCGGATGCACAGGGCATGAAGGGCAGCAGACGTAACGTGGACCAAGAGTAAAGTAATGTATTGAGACGAAGTAAATCCCCCAAAGTGATAACCCAAAGTATAATACAAGATGTTGCGTAAGGAAAAGAAAGGAAGACAACAGAAGACACAAACGACTCTTTATAGTAAGGAAATAACAACCGATTAGTAATCCCGCGGAACCTTCCAGACTTCCTAATAACTCATACGTTTAATACAGCAATATAGTTCATAACATTCGGTTACAAGGTGTACACGGTAGATCGCAGGTTCATTGGATACATCTTGGTATTCTAGGTCCAGATCCTTTCTGGCTTTTATGATGTCGGCTTTGAATTCTTTAATCATTGCTTGACATTCGCCTTCATCCATTGGACCGTCCTCTCTTATTGATTCAATGTACCCTTTTTGTTGCTCCTGTAGTTGTATTACCTTGTTGTTGTATTCCTTCCTTCTTATTTCCTTATCAAGTTCATAATCCATTTTCTTACGGACGCGATTTGATCGTCTTGGTGCTGGTGGTGGATCTCATCGTTTTGGAGGTTGTGGTGGTGTACCTTTGGGTGTCGTTGACGCAAGTGGTTTTCCTTTGAAGCCTTTGAATGGTACAACTGGTGCTGGAATTGTCTCCTAGTTATCTCTTGGGTCTCGCGGTTGTCCCATAGGTATGGCAGGTTCTTTTCCCTTGTTTGGTGTAGCCGGTGGTGGTTGTCTAACCTGTTCCGGTGATTCCGGGAATAATCCTGGCATTTCTGTACGGTTCTCTTCGATTGCATTTGACTCGGGTTCTGGATCAGACCTGTCTTCTGATTCGTATCCGTCGTCTGATGGTGCATTTGCCGTTTCTGGTTTCAGGCTGGGGATGAAGTCGAGTTCCACTGAGACTTCCCCTGATTCAGGAGGGGGGTGTAACGGGGGTCCTTTCTAAGAGAAATAGAATCGGATAGAATAGAGACGGCCGTGCAAGATAGACAATCAGGTTGCAGATTATTCAAAGATACTATCGCTAGAACTCAATAATCTTTAAGGGCTCTGCTACCGATAAGAACTTGATTTTTCTTTCTGATGAAGACTGGAGAGAACAGGACTGAAGGGCGAGAATGAACCTGAGTACTTATACTCCAAAGGCCTCTATTCTCTGCTCCTAACTCCTTACTAAGTTCCAGTGGAGCCTTTCCTCGGTGCCGGAAACAATACCACCGTTACCCCGCTTTTCTCTAAGCGTCAGCAGGTGTTTCCGATACTCAAGGCAACCACCCTTTAGTCAAAGCCTTTGTAACACCTGCAGCCTTGGTTGCCACACAACCGAGGGCCTGCATGAATGAGCTGCCGCTCAGGTGTAAGCTTAATCATTGCTGTAGGGCTTTCGCTTATTGTAGACTTCCCTAGCATAGTCCCTGCCCTTCGGTGGACTCATAATGCTTTGGAGGATACAGAGGATCACCGGGCAATCAGAGCTTCACTCTGGCCGGTCTTCTAGTCACTGGCGAGGCATAGACTCGTCAATCATTGCTCCCGTGAATAGATCCCCTTCCTAGCGCCCGGAATGTAGTTACTCTAACAGCTGGTAGCTAACCACACTGCCGGTACTTGCATATCACCGTGCAACTGGCTTCTAACAATAACTCTCAGCATGTAACCGGGCCCTGTGTGTACTCATACACCAGACAGTTGAAATGGCTCCGTTACACTGGGAATGTGACGTCCCGACTTTCAATTACCCTATGTTGTGTTCCTATCCAGATACGGTATATTTTACTACTGTCGGAGTATCCAACTATGATTTCTTCATACCCTCGGGGTGCTAGTTTCCTTCCTGCTGGCCTAGAGTTTTCTGGGATGTGGACATAGCATTTTTTACCGAATGGTTGAAGGTGTTGTATACTTGGCTTGGTTCCTTTCAGGGCTACAAAGGGGGTCTTTCCCTTAAGCGTACTGTGTGGTAGCCTGTTTTTGAGGTAGACAGCTGTTGCGTATGCTTCTCCCCATAACGACTTAGGATGGTCCATGATCATGCACCTGACCACTGGGCCATTGTGGTTACCGTCCTGTTGAATCGTTCTGCAACTCCATTAGATTCAGGAGTGTATGGGGGAGTCTGTTCATGAACTATTCCTTGTGAATCGAAGTAGTTCGTTATGTCCTTGTTGATGTATTCACCACCACCATCCGTTCTGAATCTCAGTATTGTTGTGCTATACTGTTTCTCGATCCTTGTTACGGGGACTATGGGCGTAGGAACTATGAAGCCAAGGAATACAACCGAGGCGGAGACGTGGACGTAGGAGGTTCGTGGACTATAGACTATAGACTATGGGGCCGAAGGGTACACCTAAGGCAAGAACGGGGACTGTGGACTATGGACTATGGATGGTTGTACCTGGTCTAGTATACCGGGTAAACCATATGACGTAGCGCGAACAAAATAGTATTCGTAACTGTGAAGTACAGAGATTGCATAAAGAGAAAAGAGAAAGAAAGAGAAACAAGAAATCACAAGACAACGCCCCCCTTATATATCCATACCCTATCCCAATGCTGACTCATATCCTCGCATAACAGAAACAGAAAGAACATAATAGAAACTCGCTTTACTAAACCCAACCACACTACATAATCCTTCTCCCTTATACCCAGACAACTCACATAGCAAATCCGACTAGCTGCCGTTACAGACCACTCCCCCCTCTACGGCCTATCTCCTGGTAGGCTTAGGCTTCCGTGGGTATCGTTCGTGAAATCGTTTGACAATATCGGGTGAATGTTCGACATCCGACAATGGCTGCCACGAAGCTTCGTCATAACCGGCATACTTAACCAAGTATTCAAATCTTCCTCGATGATCCCTGGAATCCAAAATATTCTCAACTTCCCACTCCTCTTGTCCTTCAACTTCGATCGGCGGTGGTGGTAATTGTTGTTGTCCTGGTAAAGGATCGTTTGCTGCAGACGACAATAAAGAGACATGGAATACGGGATGAACTTTCATAGAACGAGGGAGTTCCAACTCATAGGCATAAGGATTAACGATCCGTTTCACGATATATGGTCCAATACGTTTCCAATCGAGTTTCTTCGAAGGGCGTTTAGTGAGGACATGGCGTGTTGATAAGAAAACTTTATCCCCCACACGATAGTGAGGGGCAGGAGTCCGACTCGTATTGGCCGACTCTTCTTGAATCCTTTGTGCTCGGTACAACTCATCTCGTAGAAAATCTAATACCTCCTTCATCTCCCGTGCAATACCATTAGCCTGATCCTCTGCTGTCGTCCTACCATGTTCCAAAGGACCGAACGTCATTCTTGGATTTCGTCCTGAATTGGCAAAGAAAGGAGATATCTTTGTTGTTTCTGAAACGTGATTGTTGGTCGCAAATTCAGCCATTGGTAACCATCGAGTCCAGTCATCTTGTTGATAGGAAACATAACTCCGAAGGTACTGTTCCATCATGGCATTAATCCTTTCCGTCTGCCCATCCGTCTGAGGGTGGAACGCGGTAGAAAACTTTGGTGATATTTCCAGACGGTCGCAAAGAGACCTCCAGAATTCCGCAACGAATTGTGTCCCTCGATCGGATACCATAGTATCGGGTAACCCATGTAATTTCCAAACATTATCAATATACAGTCTCGCTACTTCCCTTGAGTCCGCCTCCTTTGTTGTTGGTATTAGGTGTCGCATCTTAGTTAACCTATCCACCACGACCAAGATTGCATTGTATCCATCGCTCTCCGGGAGGTCGGTAACAAAATCCATTGACACATCCGTCCATGGTCCATCGGGTATTGGCATCGGGCGGAGTACTCCATAGGGTGCATTGCGTAGTGCCTTGCTACGGGTACACACATTGCAATTCCGAACATACTGATCGATATACTTCCGCATTTGTGGCCAGTAATACTCTCGATTCAGGAGTTCCAAAGTCTTCGCTCTGCCTGGATGACCTGCCGATGGTTTGTCATGATACTCTTTTAGAAGTCTTAGCCGAAGGTCATTGTCGTCGGGTACATAGAGTGCGCCACGGTAAAGTAGCCGACCGTTGTTATCTTCCGTGCATTCGGCAAGCGAGATCTTATTCGAGTGACGGACGCCGTTCCGAAGCATCGCGAGTACTTTGTTCGGGAAACTGTCAACTTGGTAAGCATTTAAAAACAACTCTTCTACAGTGGACATTCCTTCAGCGGATTCATTTGAAAAAGAACCCGCGAACAAACTTAGCTTTAAATCCAAATTTTTCCGCTTCAAAACCACCTGGCTTTGATGCGTCAACCGTTCATCCCCCTCCTTAGGTAGGTCACCCGACCTCCTAGTCAATGCATCCGGCTTTGCCCCTTGTTTCCCTGGTCTAAATTGAATAACGAAATCGAAACGTGAAAGAAATTCCGACCAACGGGCTTGTCGACGGTTTAATAGCTTTGTTGACATGAAATATTCGAGGTTCCTATGATCGCTGAGGACTTCGATTGGGAATTGTGCCCCTTCCAAATGATGTCGCCATTCCTCAAAACATCGTACAATTGCCAGAAGTTCTTTGTCATAGATTTCATAGTTGCATTCCGCAGGGGAATGCTTCTTTGAGAAGAAAGCGACTGGATGTAGAATTCCTTCGTCGTCACGTTGGGACAGGATTCCAGCAGAAACATAGTCAGATGCATCGGTTTCTACCACGATTTTTCGATCCGGATCAAAGTGCATTAGTATGGGTGCCGTTGTGAACATCTTTTTCAATGTCTGGAATGCTTCCTCCCTTTCATCCGTCCATTCGAATTTGACATTTTTCTTGGTCAGTACTGTGAGCGGAGCAACAATTTTTGAGTATCCCAGAATAAACCGTCGGTAGAAGTTTGCAAACCCCAAAAATACTTGAACATCGTGGAGGTTCCTTGGTGTGGACCATTCCAAAACATCGATAACCTTCTTTGGATCCATCCTATTTCCATCTGGGGTGAGAATAAGGCCAAGATATTTTGTTTCCTGAACCATGAATTCACATTTCTC